GTCCCAATCCACCCAATGGGGAGACCGGCTGAGGTAGAGTGAGGGGTGTTATTGTTTAGCACCTCCCTGGGTGACTTACCACAAAAAGATCCCCTCAGACAGACGGCCACCGTAAATCCCTCCGCAGGGTGCCTTTGACCTTAGGTTGATGGGTGTCTCTGTCCGCACGCAGAAGCCGTGAGAAGCTCTGTCTTGTTCGTTGTTTCCTCACATAAAAGCTTTAGAAAACGTGGCTCTGTGCGTCGGAGAACGGCACAGACAGAGCTCCAAATTATTGTTGTTCAAAGCCGCTTGAACAAACCCACTCACACACACCCTGCGGTGCGCTTTGCACTTTTGTCTCACGGTAGAAACGAACCCCCCCTCCAGGAGACCCGGCCCGACCTCGTGTTTTTGTCCCCGTTAACCCACCTTCACGCAGGGGGACCCCCCCCCCCCCCCCCCTCGTGCCCCCCACACACACACTTCAAAAGAACTCACTTAAAAAGGTTTCATCCGTTATTGCTAGACGCGGGTCTGTTCTGACTTATTCTAGTTTCTGTGCAAAATGGACGGAGAGCAGCTCGCTCGACATCGACAGCGTGCAAAGGGAAATAAATAAGAAAACTCGCAGGTGAGAGCTCATAAATAAGTAAATACGTAGCTCAACGGGGTTAAGTTCTTCCGGAGAGTCTACTTTCAAACTTCAAAAAAAAAAGAAAGGAGTGATGTTGATTCCTGAAATTGTTTTGTTGTAATCGTTTTAAATATGCAGTGTGGCCACAAAGGGACTCAGAGCTCAAGGGTCGGTACAGGAAGCAGGGAGCAGAACAGGAAGCAGAACAGGAAGCAGGGAGCAGAACAGGAAGCAGAACAGGAAGCAGGAAAAAGGAAGCAGGGAGCAGAACAGGAAGCAGGAAAGGAAGCAGGGAGCAGAACAGGAAGCAGAACAGGAAGCAGGAAAAAGGAAGCAGGGAGCAGAACAGGAAGCAGGAAAGGAAGCAGGGAGCAGAACAGGAAGCAGAAAAAAGGAAGCAGGGAGCAGAAAGGGAAGCAGAACAGGAAGCAGAAAAAAGGAAGCAGGGAGCAGAAAGGGAAGCAGAACAGGAAGCAGAAAAAAGGAAGGAGGGAGCAGAAAAGGAAGCGGGGAGCAGTCTAAACGAAGCGATGAAGATGATGAAGACGCCGTTTGGACTCCGAGTTGAGTCGGACTCAGGCCGGTGATTCGTCCAGAAGGTCGTCGCTGAAGGTCAAAGGGCGACGTTAAGCACATTCGTTAAGTTTAAAGGATGAAGGAGATGAACCGACGTGACGCATGATGCGAATGTTTGATTCTTCAGAGAAGCTTGGTTGAATTATTTTGAAATTTGATTTAAGTGAATAATGAATTCACTTGACGAGTTCCACTTCACTTTTAACCATCGAAATCATATTGGAACTCTTATATTGGTTAATAAAATTAGCACTTGATCCAGATTCATTTTACGTCACTGGTCATTTTTTGAATCATTACATTTCGGCCGTGTGGTTGATAACAATTTAGTATTTGGTGCAACATTTATTTTAGCTTCAGCCAGACTTTAAATTATAACACACTCTATTTTTGTAAGAAGCAGAGAGACGTTTGGACGAATCTCCAGGAGGAAGCGCCTGGTCCACAACTTAAAGTCAATCAACGTGTAAACTCAAAAGTGCAAAACGATAGTCGAAGTCGCTTCTCGGCTGTTTTTGTTTGCTTTTTGTGCCCTGACTCCGCCCCTTTACTCTTCTTCTACTGGCCGTACGCAACAAGGCCGCCTATTGTTCTCTTCTTCAACTTACTCTAAAAAATATAAAAAATAGCAATAATCAAATTGCTATTTAAAGACTGGAGACAAGTTCTACTTTTACTACGAAAACATCTTGAAATCATCGTCGGCGCCCCTCCTCTCCCGAGAGTCAGGAACGCCGTCGCTCATTCTGAGTATTGATCACCTGCGGGGAGGCACCCCGCCCCCCCCAGGCCCTTAAATGATGGGCATCTGATATACTTGTTCTGACACCCTTATGGCTGAGGTCAAAGGTCAGACGGAGGTTGACGGGATCTACGCTTGTGTCTTTCACTCTGAGGAAATGGCGGCGTTGACTCCGCCCTCTCCTTTAAGAAACTCCAAAAGCGAGTTCAGGAACCTCTAACGGAATCAACATGGAAAGGTAGCAGATATTCCACCCGGCTCCGCCTCCTCGGCCGTGGTACATTCAGTAAAACAAAAGATCAATCAAACGGGCCTAACCCAGAAGACCAGGACCTCCTCATATTTGGTCCACGCTATGGTACCGCTTCCTGCCGCCCGCGAGGGTCTCTGGCCACCGCCGGTCGTTCGATCGGTTCTTCCCTGCAGCAAACACCGCCGGTCGTTCGATCGGTTCTTCCCTGCAGCAAACACCGCCGTCGCCGGCCACCGCCGTCTCCACCTCCGTCTCCACCTCCGTCTCCACCGCCGTCTCCACCGCCGTCTCCACCTCCGTCTCCACCGTGATGACGAGCGGGTGGAAGATCTCCGAAGTGGCTCGCGTCACGCTGTCGTAGGACGGCGGGGAGGAGGTGGAGGACACCGTCACCAGCGAGCTGGAGCCGTAGTTCTCCCTCATCATGGCGGCGATCAGCCCCTCCTTCTCTGGCGCTTCCTCGAATGCGTCCTCGCCCTCTACCCCGGCGTGCCGAGGCGTGGTGATCTGGCGGTACAGGTAGGAGGCGGCCTTCAGCTGCCGCCGCACCAGGTGCCTGCGGAAGCACCTCTGGATTACCGCGGCCGAGACGTCCTCCTGCTTCCTCCTCAGGGTGGTCGTGATGGGCTCGTAGGAGATCTTGGAGGGGTTGGCCATCATGAACTTTTCCTCCATCTGCTGCTTGAGGGCGTCCATCTCGCCCGACTCGCCCAGCACGCGCTTGGTGAAGGCGAAGAGGATGTCCAGGCAGTGGATCTTGTCCCCGCTGACCATGGGGAGGTCCATGGTTATCAGCTTGATCTTGTTGGGCTTGCTGATGCGCAGCGGCTCCGACAGCGAGTCGGCGAAGTCGGACAGCTTGGCGTACTCGATGAACTGCGTGGCCTCCGAGTCAAACTTCTCCCAAACCTCGTAGAACATCTCAAAGTCGTCCTCGCTCAGCGGCTCGGTGCTCTCCTCCGTGGCCACGCTGAAGTTCTCCAGGATGATGGCGATGTACATGTTGACCACGATGAGGAAGGAGATGATGATGTAGGTGACGAAGAAGGTGATGCCCACCGACGGGTTCCCGCAGTTCCCCCGCACGGTGGTGCCGGTGTGCGGGACGTTGGGGTTGCACTCCTCGGGCGAGTTGTTGAGGATCGGGCTCAGCAGGCTGTCCCAGCCGGCCGAGGTGGTGATCTGGAACAAGCAGATCATGCTGTTGCCGAACGTCTCGAAGTTGAACATGTCGTCGATCCCCGCCTGCCGCTTCACGTAGGCGAAGTTGGCCATGCCGAAGATGGCGTAGATGAACATGACCAGGAAGAGGAGGAGCCCGATGTTGAACAGGGCGGGCAGGGACATCATGAGGGCGAACAGCAGCGTCCGGATGCCTTTGGCGCCTCTGATGAGACGCAGGATCCGTCCAATGCGGGCCAATCGGATCACTCGAAACAGCGTTGGCGACACAAAGTACTTCTCGATGATGTCGGCGAGCACGATGCCTGAAACACAGGGAAGAAAAAAGTTCATCTGCAGACCTGCAGGTCAGATCCAGCTCGGCCAACGCTCAATTAGTTACAGTTTAGATTAACAGAACAATAACAAAGCAAATCAACAAAAAGTCCTTCATGTAGAGCGTTGTCACGGTGACGTTGCAGCACGCTAGTTTTAATACGAGTTGGAAGAACAGCGATTGTCATTTTCTTTTGTACTACTCGATGACAACATGATGACGTCCCAACAAGGAGCCCTTAAACGCTTCAATCTGCTGATAAGATGGACGCGATCTGGAGGGTTTTGCTACGGGATCATTTCATCTGCCACCAGTGAAGCTCTTTGCAGTTAAATGGGCTGAAATGGACGAGCTCAAGACCATTAGTTGGCCAGCATCGTCCTTTCGTGTGAGGCCATTCCTGAGCGTTACATCATCTAAAAGCCCTCCGTTCGGATACCCCCGTAGACGCGTGGCAGCCACACCTTGATTAATGGGTTCTGGAGGGCTGAAACGGCTACTGGACTCTGTAATTCAAGCGTCTTCTCCTTGTTATCCGGGATGATAAACTCAAAGCGCCGCGCACATCGCCACCTTTCATCCATTTACGGCTGACGGACGAGATGAGCGGGGGGAGAATCGAGGGGGAATCACCATCACGTAGTATATCAACTGCCCCCCCCCCCTCCCCCCTCCCATCCTGACACATCCCTAACACACACACACACACACGGCTGATGTAACGGGTCAATCATGTTTGATTTGTCCCCAGGGAGCGCCCTCTGGCACCTCTGATTGCTGCCGTTACCTTCACCTCCCCCAGGCAGCCTCGTCTCCGCCGCAACCACACACACATAATCACACGCACACGATGTGGTCACAACGCCGATAGCTGAGTGACCCGCCTCGTGGGTCCGCGCTGCCTCGGTTATGTCATGTGTGTTCCCGGCGTGCGGGGCTGTAAATGACCACACGGGACCTTGGTGCAGAGGGAACATCAAGGCCGCCCGGGTGGTCATTTTGTCAGCGAGGTAATTGTAAGGCGCACATTGTGTCACACACACACAACACACACTCGGCTAGATGTCTGTGACACAACAACGTTTACTTGTCTGATGCACAAACAGGTCATCGAACGCCCCTCTGGTGGACATGAGGTCATGTGACCCTGGTGGAGTTACTACTGCAGCGCTTCTATGAGCTCGTCACATCTTCGCTGTCGGAAAGCCGCCGAGCTCACCGACGATGGAGAGGATGACGACCACGAAGTCGAAGATGTTCCAGCCCACCGTGAAGAAGTAGCATCGCAGCGCCACGATCTTCAAGAGGCACTCGAAGGTGAAGACGATGATGAAGGCCAGGTTGATGTTGTTGAGGATGCGCTCCATCCGGGGCGACTGCTCGTCCGTCTCCACCATCATGGTGATCATGTTGAAGAGGATCAGCACCATGATGATGATGTCGAAGGCCTGCTTCCCCACCAGGTCGAAGAAGAAGCCCTGCACGGCGTTCTGGGGAGACATTTGTTTCATTAATCTACTTTTAGTCTATTTATGAACTCACTTTTGCAGCAATATTGTGAAAACAGGTATTTTATTTTGCTCAAAGAAAAATCCCTTCAGTTTCTTTAAAGAAATAGTTATTTCAGAGACTCGCTGATCAACTAAAGCCCAGTGAAGAAGAGCGTTTCAGAGCGTTTCAAGAGCGTTTCAGAGAGTTTCAAGAGCGTTTCAGAGAGTTTCAGAGAGTTTCAGAGCGGTACCAGAGGTCTTGGGATCGGCTTCTGGGGCTTCTTGGAGCCCAGTTTCTTCATGGCATTGTAATACTTCTTCTGCTCCTCCGTCATGAAGATGTCCTGTCCTCCTAAGTAAACAAACAACGACACCGTTATTTTACACAACAACACGCTGGGTGGGTTACCAATACACAACAAAGTCACAAAACAAACACAAAGGGACAAAACAACCACAAAGGGACACAGGTAGGAGAGGTTACTACTTTAGGTGAAGACAGCAACGTGTTATTGTGTAGTTGTGTTTTGTATTTATTTGTTTTGGACTCATCTTTCTCTTCTGCTGGTTGAAGTTGTCGATGATGACACCAATGAAGAGGTTGAGGGTGAAGAAGGAGCCGAAGATGATGAAGATGACAAAGTACAGGTACATGTAGAGGTTGATCTCCTTGATGGGCTGCTCCTCCACCTGACAGGAACACAAACGTTTACTTCCTGTTTGGTCTCCTCATCAAACATCTTGTCTTCTGTCTCGTCCCTCTTGTCCCTTCATGTTTATCTGATCGCAAACAACTTGCACTTTAATTTCACCCAATTTCTGTCTTTTATTTCAGATTCAGCAACTATTTAAATCTTTTTCGCTGTATAATTATTGAGTTTAATCTTTAATAATAGAATCCTTCATTTGACCTTTTCCTTAGAACTGGAAACGTCTCTTTGACTTACGGCTCGTGAGTCCACTGCTGCGTACATGATGTCCATCCAGCCTTTGAAGGTGGCCTTGGAAACAAAACAGACAAAGAGATTGAACTGTGATTAGTGATGAATATGACAAATTACAGATAATAATCTATGGAATCTACTGCAGGATCGCAGGACGCGATGTTCTTCTTCAGAACACCACAAAAGCTACTGGAGAAAGGATGGAGGGTTAGACAAAAGGATCAGGACTACGCTGAGACTGGTTCATAGAGGATCAGGACTACGCTGAGACTGGTTCATAGAGGATCAGGACTACGCTGAGACTGGTTCATAGAGGATCAGGACTACGCTGAGACCGGTTCATAGAAGATCAGGACTACACTGAGACTGGTTCATAGAGGATCAGGACTACGCTGAGACCGGTTCATAGAGGATCAGGACTACACTGAGACTGGTTCATAGAGGATCAGGACTACACTGAGACTGGTTCATAGAGGATCAGGACTACGCTGAGACTGGTTCATAGAAGAAAGACGTAGAAACTTCCGGTTGTCATTTCTCTGCACCTCGACACACAAGACCACGTCCTGTGAATCACCAACAGACGCCACGTTTGCTTTAGTCAATGACAGATCAGTCAGTCCTTTTATGGACTTCCTTCCTCAGTGGGGGGTTCAAAGGCTTCAGAGATAAAGAGCAGGTGGAAAGCAGAGGTCTGAGTGGGCGCCTGCCGTCCGTCACTCAGGCCTAAAATCAGCCCGTCGCCATGGGTTACCACCTGTTATTATTATGGGCTGCACGAGACGTGGCACGCTGTAGAAGATGACGGGATCGGACACCAATTTTTTTACGTATATAATCAGTATAATTCTGTGGTACTTGTACATCATATGGTACTTATACAACACAAAAACACAAAACAGCTACAAAGAGACACAGAATAACTACAGAGAAAGACACAAATCCTTGTCAGATGATGGCGGCCGGGTTCCCAGAATGCATTTCGGGCCGACTTAACCATTTTGCTCTCCACGCAGACTGAACACCTGCGATCAATTGATTCCCGCTCACGTGATTGGTCAATACTTCTGCGATACAAACAGGAAGCAGAAGGCTTCCCAAAGACTACTTTGTGCGGCTGCACGTAGACACAATGTCGCTGCCCTGAATGCTTCATGGATCAATAACTCTTTCTTTGATCATCACTGTAAGGAATCTAATCATTTAACACTAACTGAGGACTCAAGGTTTCAGATGTCCACTGATCCAGAGTTCTTCCTGGATAATTTTGGGGGTTTTGTTTCCTTTTTGCAGCGTGGCGCTATTTGCAGATGCTAATGGAAGGGCTGCCTCCACCAACCGTTGCCACGGCAACCGGCCAAACACAGGGAGCCTGCGCTCTCCAGTTTCCTTGAGCCGACAAATTCTTCTTCTCGATCCCTCCATCCCCCCCGCTTCCATCTCGCCTCCTTCTCCAGGACTCATTGCTGCCGTCACTAAAGGTTAAAAATCAGATTTAAAATCACCTCTGGATACGATTTGATCGATGTGTCCTTCGTATCGATGACTTTGGAGGAACGTTAATGATATTTTGTGCCACTTTCCGGAGCCGAAGATACTAAATAAAAATCTCAAACATCTTTCCTCTTTTTCATGGATCTCCCCGTCCTCATTATCTCTTCCTCGCTCTGTCTCCATCTTCTTTTCCATTTACAGTTTGAACATATTTTCTTACGTTTCCTCCCTCCCTCCCTCCCTCCCTCCGTCTCTCCGTCTCCCACCCACTTGGCTGGAGTCGCTCTAAAAATAAAAGCCTCTCAGACTCTGATTGATTGGAGGCTCTCAGGACTCTGGTGGTGGGCGACAAAGAGAGAGAGAGAGAGAGAGAGAGAGAGAGGAAGCAAAATGATGGGGAGATGGAAAAAGGAGGAGAAGATGCAGAGGTTGAATAATTGTCGTTGTCCATGTTGTGTTTAATGGCGGATGATGGAAAGACGGAGAGTAAAGAGAGACGAAGCAAGACTTGGACGAAGAACGATAGAACGGTGTGAGTTAACAGGGAAGCATATCAGGAGCCTAAAGTATCAGGAGACTAAAGTATCAGGAGCCTAAAGTATCAGGAGACTAAAGTATCAGGAGACTAAAGTATCAGGAGCCTAAAGTATCAGGAGCCTAAAGTATCAGGAGACTAAAGTATCAGGAGACTAAAGTATCAGGAGACTAAAGTATCAGGAGCCTAAAGTATCAGGAGACTAAAGTATCAGGAGACTAAAGTATCAGGAGACTAGAGTATCAGGAGACTAATGTATCAGGAGACTAAAGTATCAGGAGACTAGAGTATCAGGAGACTAATGTATCAGGAGACTAAAGTATCAGGAGACTAAAGTATCAGGAGACTAATGTATCAGGAGACTAAAGTATCAGGAGCCTAAAGTATCAGGAGACTAATGTATCAGGAGACTAAAGTATCAGGGGCCTAAAGTATCAGGAGACTAAAGTATCAGGTATAGTATCAGCGGCCAAAGCAGAAGACAGAAAACAACCCTCACCACTTGCAGCAGCGCCAGGTAGCCGGCCCCCACGTTGTCGAAGTTGACCTTGACCTTGGTCCAGTAGAAGCGAGCTGTGTCGTTGAGGGCCTCGCACTCCGACTTGTTGTTGACGAGCGCTGCCTCGTGGATGTGACCTGTGCGGTTGACGCAGCGGCCGAACTTCCCGGCGAAGAGGTTGACGCCCATGATGCTGAAGATGAGCCAGAAGATGAGGCAGACCAGCAGCACGTTCATGATGGAGGGGATGGCCCCAATGAGAGCGTTCACCACCACCTGGGGGGGACAAGAGGTTCATCCTCAGGGACAACGACTGAGGGACATTTAGGACGTGACGCGGTACTTCCACTAAAGGACCCTACTTTATGAAGTTTTAATGTACTTTAATGAGTTTGACACATAAATACAAACATGTGATTCGGCGTCAGTTTCGAATAAATTGACATTAAAACATCCGTTTGTGATACATGAATGCTTAAATATGTAGATAAATAAACTGCCTGCCCCTCCTGCCCTCCTCATTACACCCACAATGCATTGCTCCCACCCAGAAGCCCCGGCTGAGCAGCAGATCGTGGATTTATTTCACACAAAGGAGATGAAGAAGAAGAAGAGGGGGAGACGATCGTGGAAGAGTGAAGGCTCGGACTTCTTTCCCAGCATGCATCACGAGTCAGCCCCCGGCTTTCTTTAAATGAATGTCGGGGGGGTTGTTGTACCAATACTGGGCTCTTACCCTCATGCCTTCGAACCTGGAAAGGGCCCTCAGGGGCCGCAGGGCCCGCAGGGTCCGCAGAGACTTGATGGCTGCAAAGTCTGAATAACCCAACGTGTTGGCCACCAAGCTGACCAAGGAGACCTGGAGGGGACACAGGGACAGACACGGAGACAGAAGCGGGATGGTTAGCTACTAGACCAATGGGAGGCAGAGACTGGATTAGAGGAGAGACTCCCCCAGGAGAGGAAGCCGAGACGAGGGAGTCGAAAGGTCCTTTGACCTTTGAAAGTTCTGCCTCAAGTACCTTATTGCTTTTATAACACGGTTACCAGCAAAATTATAAATAGTAAGTAAATTGCTGCCTTTCAGTACAAAATAGTCTTGGCCACCAAACATTTCAGTAGTCGATCGCACATCACACATCTCACATCGACGATGAGGAAGTCCAGCCAGCACCAGTAGTTGGTGAAGTACTTCTTGAAGCCGTACGCGAGCCACTTGAGCAACATCTCCAGGATGAAGATGTAGGTGAAGATCTTGTCTGCGTACTCCAGCACCACCTTCACCACCTTCCTCTGCTCGATGTAGATGTCCTCGAAGGCCTAGGGGGGCAGCAGAGAGGCAGAGGTCATCAATGACGTTGTTGTCTGGGGCGACTCAACGAGAGCTTCTGGGCAGAAACATTAGTTCAGTAA